GAAAACCTCTAAGCATCAAGATGAAAAAGTCGTTTTTCGCGTCTAAGGAAAGTCATATTACTTTGTTATATTATGATCGTAATTTTCCCCAGACGCTGCTACTCTCGAAACTAATGTAAGATTTTTTTTTTGTTTACTTTCTTTATAAAATAATAAACAATCTAAACAACTTGGAGGCGTACTTTAATACCTGTCATAATTAAAAGTAAGGATAAGTGTCCAGTTCCATAATTCCGACCTATTTAACTGCTATATGCCGATATTGTTTTTGCCTCTTAACTACCTATTATTTATTTTCTATTTATCTTTTACTTTAGATGGACTAATTTATCTCTGTCTCTCCAATACAAGATTTTACAAACATATTTTCCAAATGCATTCGTTTTGGCCTTCCGCCCACGCAATTTCTGGATGGCGCGGACTCAGAGGCAATCAGCCGCACGGGCAACAGAATAAACACAACATATCGATCCCGAGATTCGAGGGACCCTGGGGCCTGTTCCCGCCGCTGAAGACCCGGAGGTACTGTCCCAGACATAATAATATCGTCTGTTGTCACACGGCGTACGGAATCCCAGATCCCTGCCGTGTGCGACGTTGCGACATTGAGGATTCGCGTCCCTGCTTACTATGACATTACGGATCCAGATCCTGCCAAGCAACATTAATGGGCCTTATCCTTGCGCTTCCTCAAGCTAAGCAGTACTAACTCTACTGAGAACAGAAATTACTAATCCACCTAAAGCTTACATGGCTATCATATTAATCTACACTAGGTACTTTATAAAAAAGAACTATCCAATCTCTCTCTTTGATTACAAATTGATTTATCTCATCAAATACTAACGTACTGTCTTTGCCCCCTGTCCACGCCCCCCGTGGCACGGTCTAGACGAACCAGAAGACCTCGATACAGCGGCTGAATCTCGGGGTCCCGCTCCCGCAGTATCTGGTTACGCCCAGAGGCACAATAATATAAAAACCGGTGATAACCAGGATTTTACTCCCTACACCGTTGCGACATTACGAGGAATCGCGTCCGCTACTATGACATTACGGGATCCCAGATCCCGCTTTCAAGCAACATTAACGGGCCTATCCTTGCGCTCCTCCCGACTAGACAGCACCGACTCTTACAGAGTAAAGATTCAATAGCCTATCTAAACAAAGCTCACGTATTGCCGCATCGGTATACCGCCGCATTACTTAATTATCCCTATCTAACTTCATATTCTATATTTTGACTCAGCATGTATACGGCGCAGTTATTTAATGTAATATTTAATAATATGTACGCAAATTATATCTAACAAAAACGGTCAATATATTTATCAAAAATATTCATGATCTAATTAATTAATAAACTACGACACTTAGTGAGATGTGTACTCTCACCCCTGCTTTCTGCTTATATTTCCACTAACTAACTAATTAACTTTACTTTAACTGACACATTATTCACGCCACCGCACTCAAAACTGTACTGTGCGTCGGAATATGTGTGTGTATTTTTCTGCATTAGGTAATATTCTCAAACTCTCTTTTTCGAAACAGAATTGCTTCGACCAATCATCGTTCGGATTTTTTGAACGCTTTTCTAGGAATACTTTTACCCCTAAATCGGAGCGCAGGACGCCCATAAAATCAGATATGGCGTGACATGCTTGAGACGCAGAAATACTTAGCAGGCACAAACTCTTAATATGTGTCGTTTTAAAACCTATGTTAAAAGAAATATTATTGGGAAAATAAACTCACGTTATATTCGGCCATCCTGCAACGGACTCGCCCCGAGTCTCCCGCAGGACACTCAGCAGTCGTCGCTGCTATCGCTGACGTCGTCAACCGGTACGCCATCTGAGCCGCTACCTGCGTCGGTATCGTCTGATACGCCGCCTGGTTGCTGCCATGGCTTAATGTGATCCACAGCGACTACATTCTCATATGTCCGTTTATTACGTGTGCGGTGCGAATTTGACATATCACAAACTACGTATCTATCATTAGGCAATACTTTCTTAATGACCATTGGTCCACTATACGGTAAATTCATTTTACGCGACCCTAACACAAAGTCTTGTTTTTGTATCACAACTAAGTCACCTTCATTATAGTTTTTCGGCTTTTTACGCGTCTTATCGTACCTTAACTTTTGCTTACTAGCTTCTGTCTCTATTCTGTTACCGATTTTCTCTCGAATAGTCACTATATTTTTTAACACTCTCGGTAATTGTCTGACTTCGTCTATTAACTCAGAGTCTATTCCGCTCCTAGGACGAACCTATGTAATAGTTCACTTGCAGTTAGTCCCGTAACTTCATTTCTTTTTACATTGTTCATCGCAAACTGAATTTTTAGATAAATATTCGTCCCATTTTATCTTCCTCGCAACAACTCGTCAATAGCGCAGATTTAAGAGTTCGATTAAACCCGCCTACTTGGCCATTAGCCCTAGGTGTGCATGCTACCGCATTAAGAATGTGTTTTAACTGTAACTGTTTACAATAGTGAACAAACTTTTCGATGTAAACGCACTTCCTCTATCAGAAATCAACACTGAGGTTTTCCGTATATCGTAAAAATTTCCTCTAAAAATCGTATCACATACTTTGTATTTGTAGATCGCACTGCCTTTTAGAAAAGTAAACTTTGTAAAGGATTCTATTTGGCTACAATTATATGCACATTACCTTTTCTAGTCTTAGGTAGAGGTCCATAATGGTCTATATGTAATGTGTCAAAAGGCTCAGACTTTTTAGGTATAGGATTAAGAAACCCCTCTTTCTTTCCACTGGGCTTTTTGCCAAGTAAATGCACGGCAAACAACAACTTATGTATTTTTCAACATTAACTTTCATACGTGGAAACCAGTAGTGTTCACACAATCTAAGTAGTGCCTTTTCCGCAGCAAATGCTGCCCTAGATCATCATGTGCTGCTCTTACTACCTGTTGTCGCATTCTTTGGAACAACCCACTGTATTCCTTTTACAGTTATTCTATAAATACGCCCATCTCGTAACGTGTAATTTTTATAGATTAATTTGTCCTCATCTGACTCGGGTGGCTTTGATAAAACTTCACGGATTTTCTGTATCTTTTCGTCCGTTAGTTGTGCAGATAACACCCAATCTGCCTGCTCTATTCTCATTACAATCTCTTCAGCAGGTTTCTCAGATATAGATGGATTTCTACTGAGTGCATCTACGTGTTTCATTCGATCGCCGGGTCTATACTGAACTGTAAATGTATACTCTAAGAGTTGTAACCACCATCGCGCAATTCGCGGTATTAATTGTTTCTTATTGCTACTGGCTTTCAATGCATTGCAATCAGTGACTACCACACAATCACGGCCCACTAAATATGCTCTATACTTTTTAAGAGTCTCCACTACAGCTAGCGTTTCTAATTCATAAGAGTGATATTTTGCCTCTGTCGGGCATGTCTTTCTACTAAAATATGCTACTGGGTGTAATTTGTCGTCATTTTGTCTTTGTAGGAGTATACCTCCAAGTCCTATAATAGCGCTTGCATCTGTATGTACCTCGGTATATGCTTCTTGATTAAAAATATGTAATATAGGGCGCTCTACGAGCATTCTCTTTAACCTTTCAAATGCGTTATTCTCTTTTTCACCCCAAACCCACTCTTTATTCTTTTTCGTTAGCTCTGTAAGCGGTTTCGCAATAATAGAATAGTTTTTTTTACAAAGTGTCTAAAATATCCAGTTAAACCTAAAAATTGGCGAATGTTATGAACACTTTTGGGAGTAGGAAATTCTTCGACTGCTCCCGTTTTAGCCTTCCTGGGTTTTACTGTACTGTCACTTATTTCAAAACCTAAATATTCTACGGATGTCATTAAAAATTTGCATTTTTCGGGATTAAGAGTCAAGCCTTCTCTCTCTAGTAAAACTAAAACTTGTTCTAAATTATTTAGAGCTTGCTCACATGTTTTAGAATATATTAAAATGTCATCTAGATAGATCGCAGCTATATCTCGTGCTGGTCTTAGAATTTTATTCATTAAGCGCTGAAAAGCACTAGGTGCGTTTGTTAAGCCAAAGGGAAGTCTGTTATATTCATATTGAGATTCGGATGTTACGAAAGCAGTGTATTTCCTAGAATTTTCCTCTATAGGTATCTGATGATAACCTGATCTTAAATCTAATGTGGTATAATAAACACTACCTTGTAATTTATCAAGTTGATCATCAATTCTAGGTAGTGGGTACCTATCTTTTACAGTTAAGTGGTTTAATTTCCTATAATCTATGCACATTCGGTTTTCACCATTCTTTTTCTTTACTAATAACACTGGCGATGAATAGGGTGAGCTCGATTCACGAATGATATTATTTTTAAGTAAATCAGCAACGATTACACTTACTTCCTGTTGTTCGCTTTTAGACATGTGGTATGGTCTATAAACGAATGGGGTATCTTGTTGTAATTCAATAGATATTTCCGCAGATCTTGCACACCCTAGTTCGTCAGTGGTCTTAGCAAAACACCCTCTATATCTATTTAATAATTCTAGTAATCTATTTTTATTCTGATCTTGACCGTGACCTATAGTGATGTCATCAAAGGTCAACGGTGACAGATTCATAATATCTACACGCTGTACTGTAGCTTTAGAGTCATTTACCTCTTTTATGCACGGCCAGCCTCTAGCAATAGGTCTCTTTTTGCTTATCTCTACGCTACGATTAGACAAATTTGTAACAGGAATAACCGTGGATTGATCACTACTAACTCTTAGTATAGTATGCGGTATACAATATTATTGCCCTTCGTTCATACGGATACTAGCCTCTATGTATAGATCTCCGACAAAGTCAGTGCTAACAGGAATATGCGCCCAGAACCCTGGTGGAATTTCGATGTTAGATTTGGGCCATATTTTAATTTTTTGTAAAGTTTCGCCAAACTGTTCAATATCGGGTAATTTTGAAAATAATTTTAAAGTTTCGGCATCTTTAAAAATAGCAATGTTTTTATCTTCTGAAACTGGATGACCAATTAAAAGTGGGGTCGACTGAACAAAATCGGGCACTACAAAGGCCATTGTTTTTAATTTTATATTATCTATATCAAGATTAAATTCAACTGTTCCTTGAGATGTAACAATTCCCCCTCCAAAGCCACGAACTGATGTAGCCTGGGACTTATCACATCTCAAACCTAACTCTTTTGCATCAGTCGCCCTGATTGTATTGCATGTACTACCAAGGTCTATAAAAGCACGTAAAGTGCGGTTGTTTACAGTGACATATTTATAATATTTTTCACCGCTGGTAGTACTATGCACTGTGTCCTTAACTAGTCATTTTGTCTCGTGATATTTACGACGTTTTGGGCAAAAACGCGCGTAATGACCTGTTTCTCTACACAAATAGCACTCGCCAGATGTTTCACGCCCCCGATTATTATCGGTCTTATTGTTGGGGCAATCCCGTCTTAAGTGACCGTACTTTTCACAGTTATGGCAGTAAATTTTGTTTACATTTTTGCCTACAATAAATTTACGTTTTCTAGTTAGATTTTGATCAAAATTTTTCTTAAAAGGTGGTTTAAATTTAATCGTGCTATCATCATTTAAATTACGTAAATATTCAAACAAGCTTTCTGGGTCGTTACAGTTAGCAGCTTTAGCCCCTATACGAATTTGTGTATCAAGTATCCCGCCTATAATACATGATACAGCCTCTCGCCCTGTAATATTGCAAGCATTTAAGAGAGCCTGCTTTTCATAGAAATACTGTGAGAAAGTTTCGTCAAACTTTTTCTTACGTTTCATCATTTCCTCTAGGAGGTCATGATAGTCTCGCTGAGAGGGAAACGCACGACGAAGTTTTTGTTTCCACTCCTCCCACGTAAAGTTTATAGAGCGTAGACCTTTATACCATACGGACGCTAACCCTTCAAGCTTAGAAATGGCATTAAATATTGTGATTTCTTCAGACCAACCGAACATATTTCTAATTTCGTCGACCTTTACGCACCACGCATTAATGTCTTGGTTAACGTCTTTCGGGTTAAACGGCGGCACCACGTCACCCCGTGTCATCGACGGCCTCCCCGCAGGGGTCGATGGTAAGTTACGCAGGGCCGTACTTAGCGCGCTCGCTAGGCGATCTACTACGTCATCGCTGCTTGTACTAAGATCGGGCGACACTATAGTTTCACTATGTCTTTCGTCTTTTTCTGATAACCGCGACATTTCCCAGCCGGAGCTACCCGCTTCGTTTGCCCTACTCGGTTTCATTTTGTTAGTGATATGTCACGCAACACGTTCTGGACACTATCCGCAGATTTTTTTTGAGAAGTTTTAGATTTGTTAACTTGAGTCTGATGAGTCTGAATCTTGAATCTGAATTATTAGTTTGAATCCTAATTTCTGAAATTTAGCTAAAGATTTTTTTTTGTTTACTTTCTTTTATAAAAATAATAAACAATCTAAACAACTAACAAAACCATAACTCGTGACAGGATAATTAAAATGTTTTAAAGTATTATATTGTCAGAAAACAACATATAATAAACCAAGACTCACCAAATAATCCCTGAAGCATTGACCCTGAGCGGAGGCGTACTTAATACCTGTCACAATTAAAAGTAAGTGGATAAGTGTCCAGTTCATAATCTGACCTACTTAACTGCTATATGCCGATATTGTTTTGCCCTAACTACCTATTATTTATTTTCTATTTATCTTACTGATGGACTAATTTATCTCTGTCTCTCTCAATACAAGATTTACAAACATATCTATGCAAATGCACTGCTTGGCCTTCCGCCCACGCACCCCCTGATGGCGCGGACTCCAGAGTAATCAGCCGCACGGGCAACAGAATAAACACAACATATCGATCCCGAGATTCGAGGACCCTGGGGGCCTGTTCCCGCCGCTGAAGACCCGGAGGTACCGTCCCAGACATAATAATAATGTCCGTTGACACCCGGCGTACGGAATCCCAGATCCCTGCCGTGTGCGACGTTGCGACATTACGAGGATTCGCGTCCCTGCTACTATGACATTACGGGATCCCAGATCCTGCCAAGCAACATTAACGGGCCTATCTTGCGCTTCCTCAAGCTAAGCAGTACTAACTCTACTGAGAACAGAAATTCACTAATCCACCTAAAGCTTACGTGGCTATCATATTAACTAATTAGGTACTTTATAAAAGAACTATCCAATCTCTCTCTCTCTCTTGATTACAAATTTACTTATCTCATCAAATACTAACGTACTGTCTTGCCCCCGTCCACGCCCCCCCGTGGCACGGTCTAGACGAACCAGAAGACCCGGATACAGCGGCTGAATCTCTCGGGGTCCCGCTCCCGCATCTGGTTACGCCCAGAGGCACAATATAAAAACCGGTGATAACCAGGATTTTACTCCCTACACCGTTGCGACATTACGAGGAATCGCGTCCCTGCTACTATGACATTACGGGATCCCAGATCCTGCCAAGCAACATTAACGGGCCTATCCTTGCGCTCCTCCTGACTAGACAGCACCGACTCTACAGAGTAAAGAGATTCAATAGCCTATCTAAACAAAGCTCACGTAGCTGCCGCATCGGCATACCGCCGCATTACTTAATAGCTAACCCTATCTAACTTTCATGTTCTATATTTTGACCTAGCATGTATACGGCGCAGTTATTTAATGTAATATTTATTAATATGTGTACGCAAATGATATCTATCTAAAACGTATCAATATATTTATCAAAATATGCATGATCTAATTAATTAATAAACTACGACACTTGGTGAGATGTACTCACCCTGCTTTCTGCTTATATCACTGCACTAACTAACTAATTAACTTTACTTTAACTGATACACTATTCACGCCACCGCACTCAAAACTATACTGTGCGTCGGAATATGTGTATTTTTCTGCATTAGGTAATATTCTCAAACTTTCTTTTTCGAAACAGAATTGTTTCGACCAATCATCGTTCGATTTTGAACGCTTTTCTAGGAATACTTTTACCCCTAAATCGGGCGCAGTATCTATAAATCAGATAGGGCGTGACATGCTTGAGACGCAGAAATACTTAGCAGGCACAAACTCTTATCAATATGTGTCGTTTTAAAAACCTATGTTAAAAAGAAATATTATTGGAAAATAAACTCAATGTTATATTTCCGCCATCCTGCAACGGACTCGCCCCCGAGTCTCCCGCAGGACACTCAGCAGTCGTCGTGCTGCTATCGCTGACGTCGTCAACCGGTACGCCATCTGAGCCGCTACCTGCGTCGGTATCGTCTGATACGCCGCCTGGCTGGGCGCCATGGCTTAATGTATCCACAGCGACTGGGCATTCTCATATGTCCGTTTAATACGTGTGCGGTGCGACTTGACATATCACAAACTACGGCATCTATCATTAGGCAATTTCTTTAATGACCATTAGTCCACTATATTGTAAACTCATTTTACGCGACCCTAACACAAAATCTTGTTTTTGTATCACCAAGTCACCTTCATTATAGTTTTTCGGCTTTTTACGCGTCTTATCGTACCTTAACTTTTGCTTACTAGCTTCTGTCTCTATTCTGTTACCTTTTCTCTCGAATAGTCACTATATTTTCTAACACTCTCGGTAATTGTCTGACTTCGTCTGTTTAACCAGAGTCTATTCTGGCTCCTAGGACGAAACCCATGTAATAGTTCATTTGCAGTTAGTCCTGCAACTTCATTTCTTTTTACATTGTTCATCGCAAACTGAATTTTACAAATATTCGTCCCATTTATCTTCCTCGCAACAACTCGTCAATAGCGCGCAGATTTAAGAGTTCGATTAAACCGCCTCTACTTGGCCATTAGCCCTAGGTGTACATTACCGCATTAAGAATGTGTTTTTAACTGTAACTGCTTACAATAGTGAACAAACTTTTTCGATGTAAACGCACTTCCTCTATCAGAAATCAACACTCGAGGTTTTCCGTATATCGTAAAAATTTCCTAAAAATCGTATCATACTTTGTATTTGTAGATCGCACTGCCTTTAGAAAAGTAAACTGTAAAGGATCTCTACGGCTACAATTATATGCACATTACCTTTCTAGTCTTAGGTAGAGGTCCATAATGGTCTATATGTAATGTGTCAAAAGGCTCAGACTTTTAGGCATAGGATTAAGAAACCCCTCTTTCTTTCCACTGGGCTTTTGCCATAAATGCACGGCAAACAACAACTTATGTATTTTTCAACATATTGTCCTTCAGTGGAAACCAGTAGTGTTCACACAATCTAAGTAGTGCCTTTTTCCGCAGCAAAAATGCCCTAGATCATCATGTGCTGCTCTTACTACCTGTTGTCGCATTCCTTTGGAACAACCCACTGTATTCCTTTTTACAGTTATTCTATAAATGTCGTATCTCGTAATGTGTAATTTTTATAGATTAATTTGTCCTCATCTGACTCGGGTGGCTTTGATAAACTTCACGGATTTTCTGTATCTTTCGTCCGTTAGTTGTGCAGATAACACCCAATCTGCCTGCTCTATTCTCATTACAATCTCTTCAGCAGGTTTCTCAGATGGATTTCTACCGGAGTGTCTACGTGTTTCATTCGATCGCCGGGTTTATACTGAACTGTAAATGTATACTCTAAGAGTTGTAACTACCATCGCGCAATTCGCGGTATTAATTGCTTTATTGCTACTGGCTTTCAATGCATTAAAATCAGTGACTACCACAAAATCACGGCCCACTAAATATGCTCTATACTTTTAAGAGTCTCACTACAGCTAGCGTTTCTAATTCATAAGAGTGATATTTGCCTCTGTCGGGCTTGTCTTTCTACCAAAATATGCTACTGGGTGTAATTTTGTCGTCATTTTGTCTTTGTAGCAGTATACCCAAGCCCTATAGAGCCTTTCGCATCTGTATGTACTCAGTATATGCTTCTCTTGATTAAAAAAAAATATGTAATATAGTGCTCTACGAGCATTCTCTTTAACCTTTCAAATGCGTTATTCTTCTTTTTCACCCCAAACCCACTCTTTGCCCTTTTTCGTTAGCTCTGTAAGCGGTTTCTGCAATAATAGAATAGTTTTTAACAAAGTGTCTAAAATATCCAGTTAAACCTAAAAATTGGCGAATGTTATGCACACTTTGGGAGTAGGGAAATTCTTCGACTGCTCCTGTTTTAGCCTTCCCGGGTTTTGCCTGTACTGTTACTTATTTCAAAACCTAAATATTCTATTGATGTCATTAAAAATTTGCATTTTTTCGGGATTAAGAGTCAAGCCTTCTCTCTCTAGTAAAATTAAACTTGTTCTAAATTATTTAGAGCTTGCTCACATGTTTTAGAATATATTAAAATGTCATCTTAGATAGATCGCAGCTATATCTCAGCTGGTCTTAGAATTTTATTCATTAAGCGCTGAAAGCACTAGGTGTTTGTTGCTCAAAGGGAAGTCTGTTATATTCATATTGAGATTCGGATGTTACGCAAAGCAGTGTATTTTGTAATTCTTTCCTCTATAGGTATCTGATGATAACCTGATCTAAATCTAATGTGGTATAATAAACACTACTCCTTGTAATTTATCAAGTTGATCATCAATTCTAGGTAGTGGGTACCTATCTTTTACAGTTAAGTGGTTTAATTTCCTATAATCTATGCACATTCGCTTTCACCATTCTTTTTCTTTACTAATAACACTGGCGATGAATAGGGTGAGCTCGATTCACGAATGATATTATTTTGGGCAACCAGCAACGATTACACTTATTTCCTGTTGTTCGCTTTGTGACATGTGGTATGGTCTATAAACGAATGGGGTATCTGGTTGTAATTCAATAGATATTTCCGCAGATCTTGCACACCCTAGTTCGTCAGTGGTCTTAGCAAACACCCCTATATCATTTAATAATTCTAGTAATCTATTTTTATTCTGATCTTGACCGTGACCTATAGTGATGTCATCAGTATTAACGACAGATTCATAATATCTACACGCTGTACTGTAGCTTTAGAATCATTTACTCCTTTTATGCACGGCCAGCCTCTAGCAATAGGTCTCTTTTTGCTTATCTCGCTACGATTAGACAAATTTATAACAGGAATAACTGTGGAATGATCACTACTAAATCTTAGTATAGTATGCGGTATACAATATTCTTGCCCTCTGTTCATACGGATACTAGCCTCTATGTATAGATCTCCGACAAAGTCAGTGCTAACAGGAATATGCGCCCAAACCCAGTGGAATTTCGATGTTAGATTTGGGGCCATATTTTAATTTTCTGTGAACTTTCGCCGAACTGTTCAAT